AGTTGGTGAGAGAAGAAGGGCCGAAGAACGTGTCGTGCGGTATCATGTTGCGCCGGAGCCGCCGGAGCAGAGCCTCCACTTCTAAGTCTGAGGCCGCCGGTGGGGAGATGAGATCGATGGCGATGCGCGGGGACTCCCTGATGCCCAGTGGGCTCCGGCGGTGGCGCCGGAAGGACACAACCCCAACAAAACTGCAGCTGGCCGAGGCCAATGAATGTCGTCAGCTCCTCAACCCGCATGTCAAACGTGATAGCCTTGAAGCCGTCCACCTGGATAATAGCGTTCATGGTGATCATACGCGGAATGCTTGGCATTGCCTGACATTGCTTGGCATTGCTTGGCGTTGCTTGGCATTGCTTGGCATTGCCTGACATTTCTTGCGTTGCTTGGCCTTCCTTGGCATTGCTTGGCGTTCCGTGACGCTGCCAACCGCAATGTCTTCACGGCGCGAGGAAGTCTGGGGTCCTCGCTCCCTCCAGGGCGTGGGCGTGGCGAGGGGCGCACCGAAGGTTACCAGATGCCACCCTGGTCCAAGATGCCCCTCAACCTGTGGAACATCGCTACCGTTGTGATCGTTATCGTTGTTATGGTTGTGATCGGTATCGTTGTCTCGTTGCCGTCATCGTCATCGTCGTCGTTTATCGTTATCGATAATTGTGTCATTGTTAGCGTTATCGCTGTGATCGTTGTTCTCGTTGTCAATGGCCTTTAGGCCACGTGAAGGCGGCTCTCGGGTGGCCGTCAGGGCCACCTTGGCAATGCGGGGTCCAACTGGGGCCAGGGACGTAGGCGAGAATCAGAACTATCATGACGCGGTTAGGGGGGGAACGATCGGGGGTATCTGGCGCAGGGGAGGGAACGTCGACCTTGAATCGGCAATACATCGCAGATGCATCGGCGACAGGGCCCCCGATAGAGGATCCGAACGCTCTTGGGCGGGGTTCGTCAATCGGGCCCTTATCGGCGATCAATGAGCGATTGCGGGTCGATGCACCCCCCCCTGAACCCATCCCACCTAAAATTGCCCCTCATCGGTTGGCCTAAGACGCGCTCTAGGAGTTTCCGAGCATCCGGCGACCTTCGTCTCTGGAGTGCGGAGGTCAACAAATTAACCAGGAATCTCAACGGGGACAGGGAAACCAGGACTTTGGCCAGGATCCTGAAAGACAACAGGAGTAGCAAGCAAGAGACTCGAGTCGCAATCCTCCAACCAGAATGATATTGACTATCTTGACCTGCAATATGTTAGGCAGATTGGGGAGAGTTTAAGGGTATAGATCTCTACGAGTTTAAAGGTCGGGGCGGGGGCCCTCGATGCTTGGACCAGAGGCGCGAGATGAGGGAACCACCATTCGGGACCCAATTGAGGCCATCGACTGGAAAGGCCGTTTCAAGGCCTGCCTCTGGGAATCCAGGGGCAACGCTTTCAAAGGGCCTGACGTTTGGTGGTCCGAATTTCTTCTGGACGCCAGGAACGGCCCCCCCCCTGATATTGAGGATAACCACATTGAGGCAAAGCTGATCTATTTTGAAAAATCACAGGCCTAGTTGCTGGTCAATAGAACCCGTGATCCTCAGGAAGGAAAGAAGCTGCTGGGAGAACTTTTAATGAGCATCGGAACTGGTGTCGCTTGGCCGACACAAACGATCCTCACCCTAGTACAGCTGCTACACAAAAGCGAAGTGGCTAGTCGTCCATGACCTTCATCCGCGGCCTTTATCGGCTGTGGGGGAGGGTTCGGAGGTGGGAGGTGGAGGGTTGGTGTTGCGAGAGCCCAGCACTGGGACAATATAGTTAAGGGAAGCTCCTCTTCAAGAGCTGCCTTCAACAGGCAATGTAAGCTCGAGATTGCGTCTGCCCAGGGCTTCACGTGGGCAGAGGTCCTGTGGTCTATTGAGAAGTGGTCTGACCATGTGCAGCGTTGTAAGATCGTCAGAGTGGCGAGGGCGGTTGGCTATCCCCTCAAAGTGCTCGTGCTCGGGATCTCCGTCCATGAGGCTCCCAGGAAGGTGAGGGCTAAGGGTGTTGTGTCTGACCTCGTTGTGCCCGGGAGGTCCCTCATAGACTTGGCCAAGCTTGCGCCGTGGGCATGTTCGGAGAGCCTGCATGCGAAGTTCAAGCCGCTCAAATGTTCCTCCTGGGTTGGCGCCCTAGGGCAGCTAGAGGTATGTGATACTGATCATGGAATAGAAAAGACCATCAAAACTGCGAGGGCCCCCGAAAGCTTCGAGCTACGGGGTTCAATGTGACAGATAAGTCTAATGTAGTGCCCCTCGCCCAACCCCCAATTGCCTGGACCATGTCGGAGACCCTGGGGAGGGATGGGATCAAGGTAAGGTACCCAAAGCTGGTCAGAGATCTTGGCATTGATGGGCACTTGTGTAAGAAGCCTATTCAAGTCATCAAAGGTAGGATCGGCAATGCGCGAGGTAGGGCTGTCTGGATTTCCAAGCTTGTCGCTGTCAAGCCTAAGGCTAAAGTATGTAATGCTCAAGACGGGATACATGCCCGGGCCATCAGCGCTGCATAGTGTTGCTGCGCCAGGCTTGGGCCCGTCTAGTCTTTTCAAGCTTAGAGCCACCACTACGACCCTCACAGGGTGGTCCCAGGCACTAGTCCCCCTACCTGCAACTGGCGGCTCGAGAGCGTGAGGAGTGGGAAGGTACCAATTGCTTCTGGCTTAGGGGTTTGGTGCCCAAGGCCTGGGCGTTCAAGCCCACGCAGCTCGAGCTCTAACGTGACCAGGTTCTTGGCCCAGCTCTGCCGCCAGGAAGGCGGCTCAGGAGGGGCGTCCTCAGCCAACTCCAGCTTTAGGAGATGTGGATGAGGAGCTGGGATTCTCCTGGGCTCTGAGTTTGTGGCCTGGGGTCGCGGGCCGCTTCTCACCCTCAAGCAATATGCGCCTCTGTCTAAGCGTTGGGTCTGTTTCCGAATGGCACGGCCCACCAATGGACACGCCGCTCTCGTAGGAGATCCGCCACCGTGCCTGCACGGAGTGGGCGCGTTAGAATGCTCGCGTGGTCCCTCCGGGTGTGTTTTGTATTGTGTTCCACGGCCGACCCACTCGCCAATTCGCACGCGCACTCGTAGACCGCACCCCATGAAATCGCTCCCAGGCGCTCTTTTCGGCCTCCCTCAAGATTGCCAAGATGGCCTTATAAACAACTTCCAAGACAACCAAGAGGACAGCAATCCGTCTCACTTTTGCCAGTGAGGAAATATGGGACAGCGTGAAATTGATGAAATCTTGGAACGTATCATTATGATGACCTCTTGCTCCTCTGAGAGGGGGAGAAGAGAAGGAGGAGGAGGAGGAGGAGGAGGAGGAGGAGGAGAAGATGGAGGAGGAGGACGACGAGGAGGACGATGAGGAGAATAATGAAAAGAAACAAATAGGAGGTACAGTAGAACGAGGAGGAGAGGGCCCCCCTCCCCAGGAGGCAGGCCACCGCCGAGAAGACCACCCCTCTGCGAGGGGTCGCCACTCACGTTGCCCCGTGGCTTTCGGGTCGTCGCTCGGCTCTCCTTCGGCCGTTCGGGACGATCGGGGCACCCCCAGACCAGGAAAGCCGTCTACGAGGCGCAGCTGGTGGAACCCGCCCCGGGCGTCGCATTTCTTCCAGCGCGACAATCAGCCAAGATAAAGTTTGATGTCTGAAGTGAACCAAAAAGTCAACGAAAATATATGCGGCCATTGCTCTGCAACAGCAGGATGCGCATGTCACGGAATACCTCTTGAAGGTGGCGCAACACACAATTCGCCGGCCCAACGGGCCAGGGCGTGCTAAGATCTCCGGTACCTGGTTAACAATATTTCTAGTTCGCGCGCGCGGGGCGGCCCCTGGGGGTCCCCGGACGAAAAGTACCCCGGCAAGGTCCCGGTAAGGTCCCGGCAAGGTCGGGCCAGAGATGCCGGAGCCCTGTTACAGGGCCCCAGGACGGGCCAAGAGGTCCCCAAGAAGCCTCCAAGACGGTCCAAGAGGGCCCCGAGACGGCCAAAGATCGCCCGAAGACGCCCAACAGGGCCCCAAGACAGCCCAAGAGGCCTCCAAGACGCCCCAAGGGCCTTCCAAGAGGCCTCCGAAGAGGGCCCCAAGAGGCCAAAATCGTTGATTTTCATTGTTTTTTTCTATGTTTTTTGCGTTCTGGCTTTTTCGGCTTCCGGACGCTCCAAGACGGCCCAAGAGGCCCCCAAGACCGCTCCAAGACGGCCCACGAGGCTCCCAAGACGGCCCCGGAACGGCCCAGGAGGGCCCCCAAGACGGCCCAAGTGCCGCCCAAGACGGACCAAGAGGCCCCAAGACGGGCCCAAGAGGGGCTCAAGAGGAGAACCGAGAACTGAAAAATCGAGCCCTCCGCCCCAGAAGGCGCCCAGGAGGCCCCAAAAAGGCCCCAAGAGGCCCCCAAGAGGCCCCCAAGACGCCCCAAGAGGCGCCCAAGAGGCCCAAAAGAGGCCCCAAGAGGCCCAAAAACGGCCCCCAAGAGGCCCCAAAACTCGGCTAGCCCACAACGGTGCGACAATATGGGCCGGCGGAATGAGCGAAGCGATTAATAATTGTAAGTATGGACTGTGCCAGGGAAGCAGGCGGGCATGGTCACAATACTATACACAACGTGGAGATAATGTCCCAGCATCTGGTTTGGAGGCGGTCGCTTCGAAAACTTCCGCAAGCGCTCCACGAGTTTGAACACCCCTGGAGGCCGAGCAACGCAGAGAGTTGGCACGCTCGGAAGGGGGACAGACGGTACTCGGCGGTGGACAAACCTCCCTTTAGTAAACCTCCCCTTAAAGAAAACGGCCTAGGACCGAAACCGACGGACCTGGACCCGCAAAAAATGGCGGCCGCGACGCCCTCTCGCGAACCGAAAACGGCCAATTCCATAATCGACGTGTCAGGGTAGGAGGTCTGTCCACCCCCGAAGTACGGGCGCGGACGCTGTCCTTCTGCGAGGGGGGGCCCCCCCACCCCCGCAGCGCCCGAGGCGCGGGGCCGCCCGCCTGCAGGCGCCGCCGGCCCTCGTCCCGCACTGCCTCGAGGCCGGCGGCGACCTCCTGCTGCGGCCGAGGGGGAGGAGGGAGTGAGGGAGGAGAAGCTTGGTGCGCAAGCCTCTTCCCGGACGTCCTGCTACCCCTTCCCCCCATCCCTTACCGTGACGAAGATCTCCTCTCCATTCGCACTGTCGGATGTCGAGCAGGGCACTGATCCCGAGAGGGTACGAGATGCATGGTAGTGCACGGCGTACCACTGCGTAGAAGAGCACGGCAGAGCGTCGTCGGGTGAGGGAGGGAGTGGTGAAGAGGGAGAAGGGGTGGAAGAGGTGATTGTGGTGGTGCCAATCCTGTGGCCACTCTGCAACCCTTTCTCAAGCGCCAATGTGACCGCCGTGCGTTTGCAGAGTAGGACTCTTCCAGCGCAAAGTCAAACCTGCCCCCCAACAACTCGCGATAGCATATTCAATCAGGGGATGCCATATATAGAAAATTAGGGTCAAGAGGCCACATGAATTCATCCTACGGACTTGCAGTACACTGTCGCACTAGGTGCCAGGAGTGAGAAGACAGGCATCTCAGTGCTCCACTTCCTCTTTCTTAATTTGCAATTTCCTTATTTGATCACCCCACGCCCAGGGGCGACCGTCATCCTGGGTGTGGGATGGAAGCGTCCCTTACGGACTCAAATGCCGACAATGCCAGTGCCAGGAGGGTGTGGACCATCGCGCGGCTTCGAAGTCGCCGACTTCGCTTCTGGCGACTCGAACGCTTGACAGTAGGAACCTCCCTGGTCAAACTTACGGCAGGAAAAGTAGAGGGGGGAGGAGGATGGGAGGCAATCAAGCAGCTAGAGGATCCATGGGCAGGAGGAGGTGGGATGATGGACGAGAAGGGAGGGAGGATGAGAGGTAAGAGGAAGGGGATGGAGAGAGGATGAGGAGGGACGATGAGAAGGAGGGACTCCCTGGAGTGACGTCCTTCGAGGCTGACTTATCATAGGCGTGTCCGGCTCCCCCCCCCCATCTGCTGCCCACGGTTGTTATCCACTCAGACGCCCCTGGGCGCTTGACCGCCCTTCACGTGTAATACAACGCCCTTCACGTGCGCTTGACCGCAGCGCTCTTGGGTGCTGAGTCTGACCAGGAAGTGTGCCTGGGCAGTGTAGGCCTGCCTGTGTTTCCGCCTCTCTCCTCCCCTCCTGCACGTGCAAGCTAGACATGGGGAAGTGTACGGTCTTCTCCCTTTACCTCGTCTTGAGGCATGGGCTTCGAACCTATTGGCCCTCAGGCGAGCGAGCGAGCGAGCGAGCAACGAGCATGAGGTCGAACCCCTCCTGCACTCGCAATCGATGTTTCTCCCCAACTCCCGACTTTTCGACGAAACATGAAAACACTCAGAAATGGGGGGAACTCTGGGACGCACCCCAAGGGGGCCATTCGGACGCACCCCTATCGAGGATGGACGCCCCCCCATTGTATTTCCCAAGGTTGGGCCCCAAATGTGTGGTCCATTCGAAAACCTTCCCAAAACTTTGATAAGGGGTTGACATACCCCCCGTTATACACCCGTGGGATCTGCCTCGCGCTCGCGTTTCCACAATGACAGGGAACATGCCTCCTCACCGTTCCTCCTCATCATCCCCCGTCTTCCCCTTCGCCTACTCCACGGAGGGGAGGAAGGATGAGCCAGCGAGTCCTGTCCAATCCCACTCTCCCTCCCAGATCATAAGAATCGATGATGGCGCAACTTGAGATTGGGACTGGCGCACGTTCCCACCTAATGTACGGTCGGACCCAGGACAGAAGAACATCCTTCAAGAACAGGAGTCCTCCGCCAGCCAAGCGAAAGAACATTCGAGGGCACCCGCCCCCAGAATGCACAACAACATCCAGCAAGCATAAAGAGCCCCACGGTGGGTGCTTCTTGCTTGCGGCGGCGACGGCGGCGCGCGCTGCTGGGCGGTGATCGGGCGATGGGCGCGACCTGGCGCGCAGACGCGCATCGGCCCGTGCGCGCGGTCAGTCCACACGATTAGCGCGCGCGGCCCACGCAGGGGCAGAGACCACGTCGTCTAATGGTTAGGACGTCGTGTTGTGTCCGCGACAGCCCAGGCTCGACTCATGGTGTGGTCATTGTTCGTGAGCTGGCCAGTCCAACCAGGAAGCGTTAGCGAGCGGCCCCCGTTCCGACCACCTGGCGAGGGCGACGCCGCACGGGCGGGCGGAACCTCCAGAGAATCACTGCGCGGCCCCGCGGCGAGAGCACCATTTGGCCCTCGGCCACGCGGCAAACCACGTGCACCGACCAGAGCCAATGTGTGACCCCACTGGGCGATGGCAGCAACGACGGAAACGATAGAACGGAATGAAGGGGGGAGGGGAAAGTGGACCTATGAGCGAAGCCTTTCTTCTCAGGCATCCGAACAGATTGTGCTCTAGATGAGCGATCCCACGAAGCCCCAGCCACTTCCCCAGAGCCTCTACTTTGTCCCAGAACAATTTCTGATGTCCCCGAGAATAACGGGCCTCGGAAGAAGACATTCAGGGAAAACGCGCGGACTGAACAAGACTAATTCATCGGAGACAGAGGTTGAACGCTCCAAATCTGTCCCCACACCCCTCCCGGGGCCCAAACATGCTAGTTTTCTGAGCTGCGTCCAGCCGTGGCGACGAGGGGCGAAGGTCAACTGCCGGTGTCTCAATTCGTCCTGCTCTGGAAAACTTGCCCTGGAGACCGAAACCTAAGAAAAACGCCCAGCTTGAAACAGTTGTGTCGTCGGAATATGTTGGCGGAGCACGTAAGGGGGGGGCACGAGGGGTGCGGCCTTCCAGGAAGGTGGAGGGGCTTCTTAGAAAGCGAAGGGCCTTCTCAGAAGGCCTTCTACAGCTTCCTAGAAGCTGGGCGGGCTCCTGAGAAGCCCCACAGCCTTCTTGGAAGCCCCACTGCATTGGAAGCGGCTGAGGGGTCTAGACTGGTCAATCCAAACATGGGTCAATCGGGCTCTGCATGATCCTGCCAGATCCTGCAGGATCCTGCGCGCTGACCCGGGCCAATGCAGCCCTGGCTTTGCAGGATCCTGAAAAATCTGGCGCTGACTGACTGCACGTTGACCCACGTCTCAGTGCTCCCGAACCGTGGCTCGGCCATCTCAGCCCCCCGGGCGAGCTCCAGCCCACATGCCTTCTCAGGAGGCCGCCCTCCTCGCGCCGCTCTCTTTTGTTGGTCCCGCCCCTGCCTCGTGTTCGGCTACGCGCAGAAGTGACCCTCTCCGGTGCGCGGCTCTCGGGGTCCGCGGGGGGGGCCGGATTCAAGCGAGCATGCCAGCGGGGGGGGGGGCTTTGTTGTTCGGCTACACGCAAGAGTGACCTCTGGTGCGCGGCTTTCGGGGGCCACGAAAGGGACCAAATTCAAGCGTGCCAGCCGGAGCTGGGGGAGCTGAGGGAACCCCTCTGAGCCCGCTCCAGATGGTCACTCCAGCGAAGGGTCACTGCGGCGAAATGTCACTCTTACGCATACACGATCGTGTGACCGCCGCGGCGCGGCGCGGGCGGCCTCAGCCAGCTCCCCCCTCAGCTGCGCCTGCGCCTCCTGAGCTGGGGCAAGATCAATCAGCATCGAATCGAGAAGTCGGGTCGGATCGGAATGTGCGTCGGATCGGGCCGCATCGAGAAATCGGGTCGGATCGGAATGTGCGTCGGAACAGGCCGCATTGGCACGGAGTCGGAGTCGAACCGGGACGGCCGCGCCAAGATGCATAGCACCGCCACAAGTGCACAAATATAGAGCCCCATCGGATCGTCGGAAGACCAGAATCGAAGCGCATCGGACTGCCAGGAACCCACATCGAATTGGATCGCTCGGGTCGACGCGGGGGTGGGGGGGGGGACGCGCCCTCGCGTGCCGCGGGAGCTTCTCCTGCGCCGTCGGCGAGCACCGGCGGGGCGCCCCACCCAGGTCTCCGACGATACATTGCTTCAATCATGGCGTCTCTCCTCGGGGAACAACGCCGAGATCGATTGATCTCGGAGCCCGATGACGGGCCCCGCGGACCATCAAAAAATGGATCCGGGACGCAAAAACTACCCCCAGGGGCCCAGGGAAGGGCTTCGGGCGTCTTTGAAATATCAACGAGGCCCCCCATCCCTGGCGGCCTCATCCAGTCCGCCCGCAGGCCTGGGGGGCAGAGGGCACGCTGGTACACGCTCAAAGCTACTGAGCAAACGCAAGCTTTGAAAGTGGGGGCTATTTCCGCTCCTTTAGCTTGGTTGGAGACGGCGCGGAACTGTTCTGGGGTGCTACACTTGCGATTTGCACCCGATAGCATGTCCGGACGTACCATCGGCGATGAATGGGCGATCGGGGGTCGATGCGTTCCCCTTTGAGCCTTTCCTTGGGGGCCTGGGAATTCGCATTCGCACCAACACCAACACAAGGGGGTGCCTCCACCGGTGGAAGATTATTTTGCACTTTGGCGCTGGTGGTACATCTCTCTGCCACTCAAAGTCCTAATACTTTTATCATCATCGAGGTTAGGATCATCTTCCCTCGGCGGAGGCAAACGCCAATGCTGGCTTTCGGGTCATAATTCCAAGAAGATCGTCCCCCACTCTACCAACCTGGGCCTTGCGCTGATACTAGCGCGAACCCAAATCTCAGACGATATGATTTTGTCAATCTGGGCGAGTTTCTTTGATTTCCGCGTCCAGGGCCCGTTATCGGGCCCGGGACCACCAATAATGAACCCTGGGTGAAAAAATGCCCCCAGGGACGGGGTCGGGAGCATTTGGCCCAGGATGCGACAAAAAAATATAAAGGAGGATGTTGGGGAAGGAAGCCGTGGCAAGACGAGGAGGACGCGGAGGCGGAGAAGGTGAGAGGAGGGATATCAGCTGAGCACATAGAGCACGCGCAGCTGTCCGCGCATGCACATGCATATGCACATATGTACAGCATATGTAGCCCCCCGAGGGGACACGCGCATTAACATGCAGCTGTCCGTGCCACTCCATGAACAGGAGGGCGGCCCGGCGGCGGCAGTTTGCAGCATGGCGAGCTTACCACGCCTGGACACTCGAAAACAGGACACGCGAAAACTGCTGCCTGTCGGGCAAGAGCGGAGCAGTGCAGTTAATCTGCGACCATAATGAAAGCTAAAACCGCCGACCCTATGTCGTCGTGTGATGGGGAATTTGTCGTCCCCGGGTCGTCCTCAGACACGGTGTTCGCTCGATTTGCTCTTCCATTCCGGGAGACTTTCCTGAGACTTTGTTTGTTGGCGCGCCGAGCTCGTCAACTCGAGGTGAATCGAGCCAGGTTGCAATCTCAATTGAAATTGAGCCGAATGGAGCCCGTTCCCGTTGATCCCTACCCCATAAGGGGGGGGGGTCATCGGGGGGATCAAGGGGGGGTCCTGGGTTCTGGTAGCCTCGAACGAGTTCGGCCCTCCTTCGGCAAGTCAGGTAATCCAAGAGGGACCCAAGAGGGCCCAGAATCCACCAAAGATCGCTCCAAGGCGTCGATGATGGCCTCCAAACGGCCCAAGTCGCCTCCAAGATGCGCCACGGGTTCTCCATGAGCACTCATAAGAGGGTCCCGACAGCCATAGTAACATGTCCAATAGCGTTTCAATGACTTTTGCGTTTTCGCCTTTTCCTCTTCAGGTGGGGTCGCCAGCGGGGTTCCTGGGCCGCCCAAGGGGAGGTCCCGCTTACAGGGTCGGCGGCACCGGCCGTGATGCCTTCTCAATAATGACCAACGCCGATCTCTCTGCCCCAAGTGCGCCAGGGTGCACGAGGAGCGCCGCTGGAAGAACAACAATGGAAGGTGAGGTAAGATAAGATACATCCAAACAATCAAAGTACCTTGAACACGTAAACTAGCAGCTCACAGTCGACTACATGATATCCCTGCGCAGGCACCAAGCCTAACCTAAACACGCCCCAGCTCAGGGAAGTGCTCCCCAGGGCCCCAGGGCAACCACAGCGGGGGGGACTGCCTCCAAGGCGCCCCTTCGGGCGCCCCCGCAGATGCAGTCAAAACGTGCGGTGCTTCAACGGAGCGAGTAGGAGGGAGGAGCAGTGAACGAATCATCCGCCCTCCACTTGCAACCATAGAAGGGCCAGTGGGACAGCGAGTCCCTTACGAGCCCGAACGAATTCTTTCTTCAGACACCTCGGCTGCACGATCGGGCGCGGCTCGAATTCTCTGCGGGGGGGTCCTCCACCGCGGGCGCCCGTAGCCTCGCCGGGGGGGGGGGGATAGGTGGCCTCCCAAACGGAGTCCGTCCGAGCAGGTGGGGTCGGAGGATCACGCCCAATCGCCGATATCGGCGCCGTCGGCGTGGAGAAGATCACCGATGCGTCGGCGATGCGGAGCGGAGCGCGCGCGGAGCGCGCCAGGGGCGGCGGCGGAGGCGCCGCCAGGGGGCTCCAGAGCCGACCCAAGAAATCCACGCGGAGCTTCGAAAGTTTACGCATGTTCCTCGAACTCTAGCGTGAAGTCGAACCAGAGAGGGGGACCCCGCCCTTGCCTGGGCGGCGCCGCCACGGGGATCCTGCGCAGATCAAAAAAACAGCGCGAACCTCCGAAAGTTTGTTTTGACAGTTGTTTTTTTTTCGACCCCTCGGGGGCGTCCAGGAGGGGGCGTCCAAGCGGGGATCTCCCAAATCCTGGCCCGAGACACGTACGCGGAGGAGAGGGGGGGGCACGGGACGCACCAAAACATGACATCGGGAAAAACTCATGGCCACAGCCACGATATCCCCCCCCAGTCATCACTCCCCTCTTGGCCGCACCCCCCTCTCGTCCGACCTGAAAGGGGGAACATCGAGCAAGAATCGGCGATGCATCGCCGACAAGTCGGCGATAGTCCCCCGCTCGCGAACCCGGGCGCGGCCGGCCATCGGGCCCCTATCGGCGATCAGTGGGCGACTTGAGCCTATCCCCCCCTTGACGGTTTTACTCCTGCTTACCAAACTGGAACACATCCTTAGGCCTTTCCCTATGGCTGGCATCGCTTCATCTCGAGGCCGATCCCAAGGATTCAGTCCGTTTCTGAGGGCGCATCCTTAGGGTTGAATGTTAGTCTTCGGTTTGAGACAAGCTCGAGACTGGTGATCCTTGCCCGCGCCCGACCCGAGCGGGAGGTCCGCCCCGTTCCGCGCCCCTTCCCTGGGGGTCGGGGCTCGGACGCCCGAACTAACTAGGATAACTGCGGTCCAGGGCAACGCCGGTTTAGACCCCCGACGCGCGAAACAGCTGTTTCACTGGACCGCCCCCCAGCCCAAATGATACGGGAGGGTTGGGCGTCCGAGTTTTTCGGGGTAGCTCCGGTCCAAAGTGACTTCAGCTTAAGCCCGCGAGGCGCGACTTTGTTGCGAGGCGGGAAATTTATCCATATCCACCTGGGAACCAACGTCCTGGTGCCCCGGCGGGCGGTGGATATGGATATAATTTTGCCCCCGAGGGCCCGAACATATTCATATCCACCGCGTGTGGAAGTCCGCGAGGATTGATCCCCCGGGCGGTGGATATGGATAAACCCCTGCCTCGGATTTGTGGCTACCCCTGACCGCCTCCATCCCTGATGACTCTGGGCTCTGAGCCCCCCGCGGCGCCCGGGGCCCCTGCGCCGCCGCGTGCCGCCGCCCTCTCGCCGCCCTCGCCAGTAGCCGGGGTGGCCCCCCGTGGCGTCGACCGCTAACAACCCCTTGCCGCTTACGCCGCCGATCCTCGCCCTACCAACGCCGCCCTTCCCGCGGCGGGCGGCGTGGTTCGGAGGCGACAAGAAGCGGGCGACAGAGAGCATGCCCCCTGGGGGGACCCTGGCGACCCAAAAGGGGTCCAGCTGAAATGGGGTTGTGCAATATATTTGGGGCAGTGGTTTTGCAAATGCATTGCGCCAGACAGTTGGATTGCACTGCGCTGCAACAAATGCATTGCGCGCGAAAACCCACCCGTACATTTGCGCCGCGGAATGTACTGCACGCCCCAAATGTATTGCAACCCCGCAAATATATTGCACCAGATGTATTGCGCCGCCCCCCTGTCGCTGGACCCCCTGTTGGGTCAACCTGGGGGTGGGGCGGGGCCGTTTCTCCTCCAGCCTCTCGCGGGCCAGCCGCCGCACCTCCGGCGTCCGCGGGCGGGGGCGGGCCGCGGCGCCCGCCCGCCGGCCCGCCGCTCCTGCAGCGCTGATACCCTCGCTCTCCTCCCCCATCGCTCCCCCTCCTCCCCCCCCCCCTCCGACCCCCCCCCTTCCCCCCCCATCCTCCCCGAAGCTCCCCCTTCCCCCTCTCCCCCCCCATCTACAATTGAGTGCGTCGTTCGGGGGCAAACTCCGTTTCTCCGTTCAGGTCCACAACTCCGACGAAGGTCTGGTTCACGTCTGCGCTGGCCCTCAGCGCCAATTCGGTCTTGGGTCTGACTGGAGCTCTGATATAATTCTGGCCCTAAAGCCCAAGCCTGATTTAGGTCTGACTGGGAACTATAAGAGACATGTGATTATGGTTTGGTTTGGGCCCGCCGAAACCAACGTCGCGGCGCCGGCCCAGAATGCTGCCGGGTCGGCCCCGTGCGCGCACGTCTTCAAAAACAACAGAAGGAATGCGTAAGCCAAGCGGCGGGTCTTGGCTGGGGGCCCAGCCGCCAGCTGCCAAATACTGCGAGCTGGGGCAGGGCAGCGCCCCCCGCCTGCGCGGCCCTGCCAAAAACGGCTCAAGGGCAGCTGGGGCGAAACAGGGCTCGCCCGGGGCCCGCTCCTCAGGGCTGCCGGCTGCCGCGCCGCGACCGGATGCGCATCGCGGTGACCGCCCCAATCCCCGCCGCCCGCCCGGGACAGGTCGGGGGCAGAACGCGCAGAAGAGAAGCGCTGCACTTTTCGCGTGGCCAGGGGGCGCGGGGGTCGCGCTGGGAGGCGCCCAGAACGAAGGCGGGGACAAGGGGCAAGGGCAGGAACGATCGCGAAAACGAAGGCGGAAGCGAACGCAGGAACTGGGGCGGGGGCGATGGGCGAAAACGATCGGCGGGAACGAAGGCGAGAATGAGGGCGGGAAGCGGGAACGAGGGCGGGAATGAGGGCGAGAACGAAGGCGGGAGCGACGGCGGGGAACAAGGCGGGAACGAGGGAGATAAAGAGGGCGCGGACGAGGGCGGGAGCGAGGGCGAGAACGAGGGCGAGAACGAGGGCGGGAACGAGGGCGGGAACGAGGGCGGGAACGAGGGCGGGGGCGAGGGCGGGAACACGAGAACAAGGGCGAGAACGATGGCGGGAGCGACGGCGGGAACGACGGCGGGAGCGACGGCGGGAGCGACGGCGTAAACGAGAGAGAGAGAGAGAAAGAGAGAGAGAGAGAGAGAAGACGAAAACGAGGGCGGGAACGAGGGCAGGAACGAGGGCGAGAACGAGGGCAGGCACGAAGGCGGGAGCGAAAGCGGGAAAGAGGGCGGGAACGAGGGCGAGAACGAGGGCGATAACGAGGGCGATAACGAGGGCGGGAGCGAGGGCGGGAACGAAGGGGGGAGCGAAGGCGGGAATGAGGGCGGGGGGCCGCCTCTAGGTGCCTCCTGGATTCCCCCAGGCGCCTCGGGAATTCCTCCAGGCGCCTCCGGGGAACCTCCGGGGAACCTCAGGGAGGTATGTTTGAAGTCTGTTTGAAGTATGTTTTGACGTCTGTTTAATTGGACCCAACTCTCATTAAGGTTTTTTTGAAAGTCTGTTTGAGGTCCGTTTGAGGTCTGGTCGAAACTCGGTTTCAAGTATGATTTCCCCGGGCGGCCTTTGGGCTCCCCGGGCGGCCTCGGGGCGGCCCCGGAACGAGGGCGAGAACGAGGGCGAGAATGATGGCGGGAACGATCGGCGGGAACGATGGCGACAGCGAAGGCGGGAACGAAGGCGGGAACGAGGGCGAGAACGAGGGCGGGAACGAGGGCGGGAACGAGGGCGGGAACGAGGGCGAGAACAATGGCGGGAACGAGGGCGGGAACGAGGGCAAAAACGAGGGTAAACGAGGGCGGGGACGACGGTTGGAACGAGGGCGGGAGCGACGGTGAGATCGGTATCGGAGGCGAAGGCGAGGAAAAGGGCTGAAATGAAAACGGCCTCGGGTGGGGGCGAGGGCGGGCGCGGGGGCGGTGGCGGAGACGAGGCCGGGCGCGGGGCCGGGAGCGAGGGGGGAAAGCGAGGGCGAAAACGAGGGCGGGATACTGAGGCCGAGGAGCGAATACTCACGCTCGATATGGAGGAGGGGGAGGGGGAGGATGAGGACGAGGAGGATACAAAAAAACGACGGGAGGAATGGGGGTCGAGGGCACGGGGGGCGAGAGCTCGCGGAGGGCGACGGCGACCGAGGAAGGAAAAAACGGTACTAGCGAGGCCCAGGGGTGAGAAAACGGTTAGGGATGAAGCCGTCGGGGGTCGCGCCGTCTGCGATTCTGGGCTTGACCCCTGGGATGAACAGTGGAGGCAGCGCCCTCGGCTTCGGACGGCCATCCGACCCGCGGGGCTGCCTCGGGCGAGGCAGGCCCGACCCCCGTGTGTCGCGGCCCTGCTGCCCCGAAGCAGGGAAGCCTGCAACGCCAAGGAACCCCTGAACAGCAGTCGGAGGGGGAAAAGGGCAAGGGCCTCAGAAACGGAAGGGCGGGAAAAGCCTTACAGACAAGCTGTCAGGAGGTTTCCAACAAGTGAGAATGCAGGAGGACGCGCCTGCCCTGGCCTGTCCAAGGCGGGGCTCGTCCTCTGAGAGCCTTCCCCGCACCGCCTCCTCCCCCCCGCCCCCCCCCCCGCGCCCACGTAGAAACAAACCAGGGGCACTGGGCCGGAGCCAATCAGCACTTTTATTTCACGGTTCGCGACGCGCCAAATACGCGCCGCTTCGCCGAAATACGCTGCTACTTGCGGCGGGTATGTTTTTACTCGGCCTGCTGCTCAGGTTCTGCTTGTTATTGGTGCGTTTATCTGGCGGGCTTGCGTCGCGAAAAAAATGCGCATCTTCTGGAATGCTAGGGGCGAACACCTTGCCACGCGTGCATGCAATTGTTGCCCTCTTGTACCAACTTTTTGCATATCAAACTTTGTAAATTCATGGTGTACTCACTCACTTCCACCGCGCCCGATTTACAAACGTTGCCACCAATGCTGGTCCAATTTTCAATGGTAGATGTGAACCATATAATACCAAACTCGTGGACATGCATTCATGGGTTCTCGGTTTCCGCCCTGGGTCCCGACGGCACTCCCCGCGGCCTGATGCATCCAACAATCTCGCAGCCTCGTCGTTGTAAGCATCATGTGAAGCAAACCCAGGTGAGACAAAATGTGGAATGGTCTCAACATCGCCAGGTCTTGAATCGCCTTCGTCGCACGAAATTGTTGGGTTCTCGGTCTCCCGCATTGGGTCCCGACGGCACTCCCCAATGCCTAATGCCACCAGCCCTCTGGGCGTCGGTGGTTCAAGGCGTTTCCTCTTCCACCCCTCCCTCTTCCCCTTCGGGGACGGGTTTACCCCTCCCCCTACCCCCACGGGGGGGGGGGGGGGGGGCGGATAGTTAGAGCGTCCAAGATGGCCCAAGGTGGTTTCATGAGGGCCTCAGAGCAGCCCAAGATAGCGTCGAAGATGGCTCAAGATAGCGCGAGATGCCTCGATATAGCTCCGAAGGTGCTCCAAGGCGTTCCAAGACCGCTCCAAGACGGATCTAAGTGGCCAAAAGAACTCACCAATGACGCCCCGACCAGGCCAAACTTCTTCAAAACCATCGGGGCAATCAATGTGTTTGACGTTATCGCTTTTGCGCTTCCGATGCCCATCCGAGGCATCAACATCGTCCCGAGATGGCCCAACAGGGGCCCAATAAGGGACCAAAAGAACCCAAAGACGGCCCCAAGAGCGCCCAAGAGTGCTCCAAGAACGCTCCAAGATGCGTCCAGGAGGCGATTTTGGGTGCTCCTGAAGGGGGGCGTAATTGAGGACCCCCCCTTCGCTGACCGATCTCCTCCAGGATGGCCCCAAGAAGCGCTCAGGAGGCCCCAAGAGGTCCCAAGATGGCCCCAAGATGGCCCCAAGAGGCCCCCAACAGGCCCCCAAAAAGACCTTAAGCGGCCCCAAGAGGCCTCCCCGAGGCACCCAAGACCCCGAAGAGCCCCCAGGATCGCCAAGATATCCCCAAGACGTCCCAAGAGGCCACCAATATTCGCTCAAGAGATACCCCAAGAGGTTCCGAGAGGCATCCAAGAAACCTCTGGCCCTTGCGTTTGCCCTCCTCCTTCTCCTGTTCCTCCTTCCTGCTCCTGCTCCCTCTCTTCATCCTCTTCCTCCTCTTCCTCCTCCTCCTCCGCCTCCTCCTCATCCTATTCATCCTCCTCCTTCCCACTCCCTCATCCATCCATCCATCCATCCACCCCCCCTTCTCCTCCTCACTCCTTTGCACGGCTCGGCCGTCCTCAGCTTGCTGCCGCACTTCCCTGATCACCTCAACTCGCCTGGACATCGTTTCTGGATGTGCTGGTGGGGATACTTTTTTGGTCAGCGGCACCGAGACTACGGTCAGGGAGCGGAGGCGACGTCCGGGCCACGGGCGAAGCAAATTTACAAGACAATTCGCCGCCAGCCAGAGTAGGCGGACAGACAGCTCGCTGAACAAAATGACCAGAATTCGAAAGGCAAACTCACGGAGGCGCGGAAGCCCTAACCACAGTGGGCAGGCCGCTGTGCCCGGTGAGAATAACAACGCCCCGAAGTGAGTCGCCGATGCGGCGCCAGACTTCCGCGGCCGACCTGCACAAGCCGAGCGGCTGAGCGGCCGAGACCAGAAAACAGTGCGCGACAGCTGGTAGGGGCCGAAGCCTGCACAGGCGTTGTAGGCTGAACCACTCAGCGCCCAGTCCTCAGCGATCCGCATCACAGTGTCGGGGGGGAGCCGAGCGACTGTGACCCAAAGCGCGACTGCACGGTGCCGCCTCGTGAAAAGAGGAACTCCGCTGGCGTGGGGAGCATCGCCGACGGATGGAGAGAAAGGGTGGGGGGCGGCACGCGTGGTGGTGGTGTCGACTGCGTTGCCTGCCTGGGGGAGCCCGCTGCCGTGGGCGCTGAGGCGGCCAGCCACAATCAGACCGTCGCATTGCGTTTCCCCTGG